AATTCAGAATCAACGTTGAGTTTAAGCAAGCGAATGAGCGAATTGCAGTAAAATGCCATGCAGTTTTAAATTTTTCCCACTTATGACAAATGCAGCTATCGATTTTTTTGCATGCTAGCATGCTAGTTAACATTCGTGTCAGTCAGCTGTTGGCTCTCACGCTGGCCAATAGAATCTTCCTGCCTATTCGTGGCAGCCAGCCATAAGCTCTCATTCTGGCCAGTAAAAAATGGCCGCAAACTACATGAAAACTGCCGTAGAAGCATGAAAAATTGATTATTTCCACTATCGATGGAAGTTGGGAAATGCAAAGTCGGTCTTGACCTTCCGCTAACTTGGAGCATGTGCATGTAAATTTTTGTGCAAATCCGTCGAAAATTGCGGCCGTGCATTCGTTACACACACACACACACACACATCCTGACTTTTATAGATAGAGATATTAAAAACTTTATTTATTAGCTTGTATATTGACAAGAATGATTTTATATTGAAATATTCTAAAACTAATACAATTAGAACAAATGCTTGCAATATTTATCATTTACTAATTTATAAAGAAATAATTATGAAAAACCTTTTTTTTATTCATAAATTTATAAAATTTACTTAATTATTAAAATATGGGGATCGACTATGAACAAATATTCATTATTTTATCACATTTGAATAAATGAGAAATTAGACGATATTTACAAACAATTCCGATAAAAAATATAACAAATAAATAATGCAAATAAAATAATAATAATAAATATATAATGATTATTGTTTTTTGGTTTCATGTCTCAAGATGAAGGAAAATATATATATATTCACTTTCACTGTTAGGTCTTATTCCAATTCAAATCATCGCTTTTTTAAAACAATAGACACTCCCGGAGTGAAAGTAGGTAAAAATGTGTTGTTATGGAAAAAAAATTCTTTTTATTCTACGTCTTAATGCAGGCACGTAAGCCCATGTTTGCCATTGGTTTATTGGCTAAATAACTTATCAAAAATGTATATGAATCTAGTGCTTTAAGCTTTTGAAGACTTAACGATACTTCTAAATTCGGTCTCTATATTTTCCTTTTTTATGGATAGTTATTATTTGCATGTAAATAATGCAAATATACGTACATTATATATGTTCGAAAGGTTGCCATAGCCGAGGTGATAGTGGGGACAAGCTCCCACTGTCTATGAAATTCTTCCGTGGCATGCATGTCAGAATAGACTTTGGAAACTAAGGCGGAAAACTGGCACTTCATAAGCAGCTGCTTCTGTGAGATGGAGTATGACAACCCAGGAAAGTACTCTATCTAGGGGAAAGAAAACACTGATTTTAAACCTCCGCTACTTTGCGGTCATATCCCAAACAGGGAAAAGGCTATGGAAATAAATCCAGATAGAAATACCGGAGCGTAGCCCTGAAGGCGTTTGGCTGTCAACACTGACAACTTTTTTTCCGGCAGACATGTCCTCTATATCCAAACTCCCAGCCTTACGACCTGGAAAGGTCACTCCAGTCTCAGTGCCAAAGCAATAAATTTTGACCAGAGTAGGTGCTATTTTTATCTCGAAAGATAAAAGAGTGCCTTCTAAAATAATTTGGTATTTAGTATCAAAAATAAAGCAAATAAGGCAAAGATGATATTTATTTAATTACAATTATGTAGCTGTGTTTTTTTCGCGGCATTTTCTTCTTTTATCTAAATTCCGTAGTCGCAATAACACAATAAATATACTGTTTTTCTTGTTATTTTCCTTTAAGCGTTTCGTTATTACGACGAATTTGCTAAAAATGTTCTCTCTCCGACCGAAGAATTATTTTTGGTGTTTGGTCATTGTTTCAAATTTTATTTAGTGGGACTTTGCCGACAGATTTTCAGATGTCCCCCTACAGTACAAACAAGTGATTTTATGTTGTCTTTCATTTAATAATGGTTTCTCTCAAAGTTAGGATTCTTGTCTCCGTTGGTAGTTGCATAATTAAAAAAAAAAACTTGTAATTCCAGCGAATAAATTATTTAATGGAAATATTTTGCCTGAATAAATGTGTCGAAATATTTCCATGAAATAAATTATTCATTGGAACTACAAGTTTTTCTTTCAATGTTTTCTCTTGTTACTTGTGGGTATTTTTTTTTTTACGTCGTCCTTATTTTAAAATATAAAATATTAATCCAGCTCTAAAACTCATAAGCCGTTATAAAACGATGGAAGTCTATATAGGGCCGATTTACGTGCCGTCGCATGCCTCTCGCTAATCTGTCAATATTTGATCCTAAATGTTCTGACAGACTATATTCTTTAGCTCTACCAATTCCTGGCTTTCACAGCTAAGAGCTTTTACCAACTCACTCGAATCATACTTATCCCCTTCGTATTCCATTACAAGTATCACCCAAGCATCTTTTTCCCAAGAACTGCTACGTTTTGGAACAGTCTCCATAGAGTACGTTTTCCCAATCACTATATCCTCTTCAAGTCTAGGGTTGACCGTTACCTCTCTTACATAAAACCCTAAAGTGTATCTCTTCCTTCTCTTTGTACGCTCATACAGCAAGACCATTCAGTAAGGCTCTAACTTGAGAGATTCTTAGGCCTTGCAAATATTAGTAAAAATCTGAGTAAAAAACTTATGTGGTTTAATCATTTCTTTAACTGTTATTACAAGTCAAAAACATTCATTATTAGCGTTCATAACAATGCATATAAAGTATGTCTAACATTAGTTAGAGGGTTTCTTTTATATATCAGCCATGTTTGGGTTATTTGCTATCTAATTTTATATAGGGTACCCAGTTAGTATCGAATTTACTACTCAGTATTAATGGTCAACTCGACCAGCTTCGCTAACTATGATCTGTCGACGAGGCACTTATGACAGAACATTGGTTAAAAAATCTCACAAGATATCGGTTGGGAATAAAATTTTAACAGGGGTCTTGAATACTGAGACCTATATCAAGTCGGGTCTAAGATTTATAACAGCCATTAGTTACTATATTTTTGTACAGCCATTAGTTACTATATGATACAGTGTAAAATAAATAAAAGAAATTAGACACAATTGGACGTTAACTTTAAAAATTAATTCGTATTTGCGAGGGTGTGATGACGTAATTTAATAATATTCAATGTCAAATGTCTCTATGACAAAATTCACTATGAATTCATAGATAGCTAGACAAAGGTAGGATTTCAACTTGAATCAAGAGGTAGATATGGGTTCGGTTTAGATTTGAGTAAAAAAATAGACATATGTCCGTTTTACTGTAGAATCAAAACTTTAAAGTTTGGTTAGATTTAAGCCTGTATCTACATTTATTTGGCCAGAAAGAGGTTCTTTATGGTAAGATTAGTGGCATTACTAAGATTTAACTGATGCATATTATTCTCAAGGGCATTAATGCAAAATTAAACAAAAATGCATAATTAATATTAGATGGATAAACAGATAGATAGATAGATAGATAGAGAGAGATAAATGAAGATGGGAAAATAAATTGAAAGAAAGAATGTAGATAGATTGAAAGAAGGTAATATAGAAATAAATGAATAAGTATAGATAGATAGAAAGATACACAGAAAAAAAGAACGATAGATAGATAAAAAGAAAGAAAAACGGAAGTTAAACTAAAAGACCGTCCTGGGTAAAACGATAAACTACGTCCAAAAGCAAATTCTCTGTTAGGAGACTCTGGGGGAGCGTGGAACCACCTCTTAATTGCTAGTGTACCCTGGTTCCTGGAGGGATGGTAGCACCAGTCAGGGTCCCAGCTATGGAAACATTTGCCCCTCAAACTGGGGTCAAAAGACTATGAACGTATCAAAATAGGTTTTAATACCAGCAATATATATATATATATATATATATATATATATATATATATATATATATATATTAAACCTAAACTTTAAGTAAGAAAGATTACCCATATAAAAAAAATAATTACAAATTGCATTTACTTTTTTATTGTAAAAAATAGTTACGGTAACATCTTTATCAGTATAAAGATGTTACCGTAACTATTTTTTACAATATTAAAAAAGTACGATTGGTCGGGTAAAAAAACTGTTATAATTTAAAATATTTTTTTAATATGTTCTCTATAAATGTGTTAATAAATATAGTATTTAACTTATATTAAATCCCTAAACTATTTGTTTTAAAAAATATTAAATATTTAAATTGATAGCAAACATCAAATTAATTTATTCGTTTTTTTGTGTTTTTTGTTTTTTTAGACATCTAAATTTCTATCAAGCATTAAAATCTATTCTTTACATAAATTGCTAAAACCCAATTACAGCCTCTTTCTCTTTACTTCCCTTTCCCTCTTCTTTGTTTTTCCTTTTTCTTTTCTCCCTTATCCCCTAACATTTCAATACATCACTTCCGTTAAGTTAACCGTTTAAATAGGTGAAGGCCTGGTCACTACTCCTTCCCCGATACAATGTATACGTGAGAGAGATATGAGATTAATCCCCCCCTATACTCTACCATGTCTCTTTAACTACTCCTTTTACACTCTCTGTTAAATTACAAAAACTTACACTACCCATCAATTTTAATTTCATTTTTCGTTTCATTTCCTTTTTGGAAGTGCTATCTGATGATCCGGCATCCCTTAAAAGGATGCTGGTGAAAAAAATTATTATAATGGTACCTTAAAGTGGTCTGTTTTTCTTTTAAATATTAGCTCTGGATTTACATTGAGCTCGCAGGAGTTCATACTTCTTGGGATTACCCATAAGGATTACCAAGTTCTTCATAACAACTATATATATATATATATATATATATATATATATATATATATAAAGTTATTACCAGCAATAAATTTTAAAGAGAATTTACTAACAGCTATAGATTTTAAAAATACAAATTATCAGCAATACACTTTTGGAAAAAATATTACCAACAATAAAAAAAGATAAACTTGTCTACATTAAAAATAACCTATAGAGTTTGATAGAGTTAAAGCAAAACAAATCAAACCAACTATAAACTAAGATAGATAGATAGATAGATAGATAGATAGATAGATAGAAACAATGAAAGGTAGATAGATTGGAAGAAAGATTGGTTTATTGAAACAAATAAAGTAAAAGTTAAATTGAAATAAATAACGATAGATTGAAATAAATAAATAAATAAATATAGATAGATAGATAGATAGATAGATAGATAGATAGATAGAAAGTAACCGAGAAAAGCAAGATACACTGAAATAAAGAAATGTAGATTGAAAGAAAGGTAGACATATTGAAATAAAGAAAGAATAATTCATAGATAGAAACAAAGAAAGGTAGATAAATTCAAAGAAAGAGATTGATACATTGAAAGAAAAAGAAAAGAAAGTTAAACTAAAATAAATGAATAAAGAAAGAAAGATAAACAGAAAGATTATAATTAATATGAAGAAAAATACTAATCAAGTGAAAAGAAATCAAGGCTCACCAGACAAAGATTATCTCGAATACCAAGGAGATTCCAAGCGCATTAATGAAACTTTCTGTGGTTTGATGTCAAGCAAAAGCTCACATTACAATTTAGTAATGTGTGTCCAATTTCGGCAATAACAAGAAGAAATTTAATAAAAGATAAAATAACAATAATAAATAATAACTGGAAGGAAAGTCGAAGATACACGTGATAGAAGAAGTAAAGAAGATAAGAGAGTGTTTCCCGAACAGAGCAGATGAATGCCGGAATCACTGAAGTCGATTGTCTTATGGAAGGTATCTTGGGAAGTGGCAGGGTTACATATTGGGCAGTGACATCGAATGTCAACAACGCTGAAACACCGGCGGACGTTTGAATAAGATAACGATGGGGTCAAAGTGAGAGAATATGCGCATGCGCCAAC